TTGCTGTTTATTGTATTGCTAGCTGTTGCTAGAGTTTAGTTGCTCGATTCACTGTTGTGTGAAGATTCTGTGGTATCTAGTTTTTGAACTGGATCTTGGCTTTATATTGCAGGATTAAACAGCTAGTTGGGTCAGGTTCATATCTGTTAAATCTCAACTGTGTTAGATTATTTTTTGTAGAGCGGCAGTGCCGTCCTGTAAGGCCGGCAGTGCCGCCCTCTGTTCTAACAGAATTTTGAGTTGAATTTTTACAGGCCTATTCACCCCTCCCCTCTAGGCCTCCTTTATCTTCCTGTAGATCCTACAATGATGCACCATGTATGGAAGAAAGATACCAAGCAACCTAAAGTGCGAGTCGGGCACTAGGACATCATGCACAAGTTCACCAAGGTTGGAGTTCCTGCTCCCAGTGAGTTCTTTGGAGAGCAAGGGACAGACATCCTTTGGAACAAAATTATACTAAAAAATTAGAAACACATAACTCTTCATACCACTATTATATTCTTATAAATTTAGCAGCTTAGCACACTGGAAATTATTGTTAGGCCACTGGATCACTGGCTCAAGTGAGTCGACCACTCACCAGTCTTGCCGACCACGGCCGAGCACGACAGGCGCTGTCGACCACAATCTGGGCCTGTTCGCTTGTCTGAATTTTGGAGGAATCTGGATGGTTTGGAGGAATGCTGAAAGAATTTGTGAGAGAAAAACACTCTTCCGGATGAAAAAAATAAGCGGATCAAGCTGGGTTTAAGGACACGCGAACGGAGCCTCTATGGCTAAAGGAAGAAGAAGAGGGAGAACAGAGCATACACACAGCCAGAGACACCAGCGTTGGCCGAAGCCCTGTTTAGGAGATGGCAAATCTGAACTCTCTTTTCTGAGTTGCAATGATAAACTATTTATACAACTATATCCATCTAGTCCTAGTACAACTGCAATGCTGCTACAGTGACTAGATAACACAGCAGGACTGACTTTTGTGCCTGTCCCTGCTATGTTGTGGCTACAGTGAGACAGGTGAGCCGTTCGGCGCCTGCCTTCTACAGCGGCTACAGTACCACAGCAGGGAGCTTTTTCAACGCCGCCTTTCCTTACTGTGTGTTCACACAAGAAAGCAGCAGATTATCTAACAATTATTTAGCAGCGTGCACACTCTATACATCCTTTTTTAAAATAATCGATTATTCAATCGTGTCACTAACATCAGCATTACAGAGCTTCCTAACATCAATCTTTCCAACAGAGACATTTATTTTTCATAAAAATAATGTATTTTGGGAGAAAGTACCATGGCTGAATTTGATCAAAGTAAAGAATGATGCCCTCTCAATCTTTTGGTGAGTTGACTTTGTGTATCCTTGGTAGATCTAGCGGCTACAATTTCTTTTTATTATTTCATCTACAAAAATATGAAAGGGATGAAATGCAGTCTACTCCTAGCTTATTATTGATCGTTTCCAATCTGCCAGCAGAATTATTATTCTTACAAGCTACTGAATTAACAGCTAGACTAAGAATAATGTTACTAAAAACTGTTAGGCATATGAAACGAAACAAAGTAAGTTAGCTAATTACTACGGCGCTGTAACAGTAACTACCGGCAGTGTAAGAATCTCTTAATCTGACACCAACATCCAACAGCCCTAGATCAAAACCCCAGAACTAGCTAGTTCCAACAAAACCGAATAAACTTATAACTTCTGAATGTACCAGCATAGGTAGCATTTCGCATGCAAGGAATCAAGAAGCAGCACACTGCACACCATACATTAGATCTGGATCTTGGAGCTGACTGGATGGATATTGATGCTGAGATGGAGGTGGCGGCGGTCACGTGTTGACGGCGAGGGGGACCATGGCAGTCGCGTATCGAGGGAGAGGCAGCGGAGATGAGGTGAGGAAAGCCGTGGAGACGGCGACGGCGACGGCGACGGCGGGGCTCGAGGATGGAGGCAGGGGCAGGAAGCGAGGACGAAGTCGACCGCGGCGGGGCGAGCACAGCGTCGATGGGCTGAGGACGGCGACGGCGGAGGCGGTGTCGAGACGAGGACAGCTTGCGGCGGCGGGGTGCTTTCGTCGCGCGCGTCGCCTTGCTCGGGGAAAAGCCGCCCGGACCCAGGCATGCGGGAGGAGCCGCCCCGGGGAAAAGACAGGGCTCGGGCTGAGCTCCCCCTCCGCGTGGGCTTCCAAATGCAGGGGAATCTGGCCCGTGGCTGAGTTCCAGGCGGGGCTTCTTGCCGAGGGAAAAGGCCGGGGTATCCACGCGGTTCACGGCTTCCAAAAGAAGCCTAAGAGTGTTTTGGTTGGCTATACAGCCTTATACTTGGAATCTTTGAAGGTGTTTGGTTGTGTGTATATATATATATAGAGAGAGGGAGAGATACAGTGAACCTACACCTAACGCTGATGAGTGGGCCTGTAGCATATATAATGCATCCAACAGACCTGCATGAGTAGAAAAACTCAATTCAGATGTATTTTTTTCGACAACTCAGCAAGAGATTTGCTAAGTTAATTTATTAGAAGGAGTTAAAAGAACACGCAGTAAGAGATTAAAAGAGCTCCTCGACTCTCCATGGCTCGCTGGCCAGGGTTAGGGAAACCGAACCAAAGGCCACCATTGAAAACTGAACCACTAATAAATTGATACATATTGCGCGAATGTCAGCTTGTATAGTTCAATGTCTTCCTTTATATATATAAAAAAAAGGCCAATTGGAGTGGTTTGTAGTGACGAATGCTTCCACAATACTAGAACGGGGCATGTTTTTACTGGAAATGCTCCGGTACTCCTCTATTAGGAAACTACACGCATCTTAAAGCAGCTACCGAATTAATTAATTTCTCAATTAGGAGTACTATAACCAGGGTCCCAAAACGAGCCCAGCCCAAGTGGATCCCGTATCCATCTCCCTCCAGATCAGCCTTTTCTTGATGACGTCCACAGTTGCAGGTAGGAAAGGACGGCCATGGCTCATGGCTGTATCGTGGACAACACCACCGGGCGCCGGCCGAGGCTGCTCCTTGTAATAGCCTAATAGTTGTAGCCTGATTACTGAACAATTCCAACAATTCGCAGTTAATAACAGCGGGACGATGTGCACGCAGTTGATAATTGTCCTCTTCGCTGTTGCAGGGGATGTGAAGGCAGCCATACATTCATTCAGATGTTGGTGCTACTCCGCTGTGGCCCCCGCGGCAGCGTTCATGACGCAGCTATCGCCGACGTCCATCAGGAAGAGGCAGCAGACGCTGCGGACCTCCTCATGCGAAATGAACGGCACTGAACAAAGGGGTTCAGATCAGAGGGGATGCATGTGCCACTATGGATGTGCCGTCGACGAAGTCGGGTCCTCGCCGCCACGCGCGTGCACGCAAACCAAACGTCCGAACAAAGGGGACTGGCAATGTGGATGGGTTTGGGCTGGGCGGAGGGCGGAACCATGCGTATCCATAATAATTAAGAAAATTATTTAATTAGGTGGGCTGCTTTAAGATGCGTGCAACTTTAGAAAAGAGGAGTACCGGAGCAGTTCCCATCTAGACAACCAAATACTCTTCTCTGTGAGATTATACACACCCACCAATGCGAATGATCCTTACGCGGGCAAACAAACAGATTCCAAAAGAGCACTGCTGCACGAAGAAGGGTGTCGTTGTATATGAGTTGGTGAGTGCGCGCGCAGTGTTTTTTGTTGGGTTCTTTTCTTGTCTTGTCCACACGCTTGTGACGACTGGAATGCTAGATGGCTAGATTGCATGAATGGGCATCCAGATTGGATATGTTCTCCCCTGACCCCCTCCCCTTTTTAGTACAATTGTGGGCAAGGCTTTAGCGTGTTCTACAAATAAATTTGTAGCTAGTTGCCGTATACATGTATTCAGAGTTCCAGACTTAGACATTAGGTGGTCAATGTTTGATTGTAACAGTTATTGTTGTTGATGTAACGTGTGAAGCATATATTTTTTACCAAGCTTTGTAGAATAACACATCATGGAAATAGTCTAGTCAAAGGCTCCAATTAAGGCTTTCCCTCTCGTAGTTGGACAAGTTCATCTTCAACTACTAAATTAACTAACATATATACTGACCTGTACGTATATAACCAATTATTATATATCAGCTAACTCTAGTTCCACTTCCACATATTCAAATGTCCCGTGAAAATTGAAGCAACTCTGAGTACGCTACTTTGTAGTTTGTACCCTTTTTTTTCTTTTCAAACAAAATGGTCCTTGTTCTGACCAAGGCGCCAATTACCTACTCCTACGTTTTACGGCCCTGTTCAGCTGGCTCGAAAAACGGCTAACGTGGATGCTGATGCTGATTTGTTGTGACAGAAAAACACTGTTATTTCACTGAAAAGGTACGGCCGATAAGTTCAAGAAAACAGGGCGTACAATTATATGAACACAAGCAAGTACCACTGCCACCCTCTCTCTCCATAATCAGAACCAGTTTGGAGAAGCTGTCACTGAAACTCTGTAGGGCAGATCAAATCGGGTACCAGCAGCTTCGAGTACATCTGAAGCTCGTATATGGTGGCAGATCCAATAAGAATCGAGCAGCAGTCCAGTCCTAGGTTGGCAGTTGGCACAGTGCTCTGGCTCTGCTGATCCGATCCCTCCCTCTCTACCCATCTTTGTACCCTGCACGCATCTTCTGCCCTAAGCAACCCCATTTTTTAGTGCCATGGCAGCTCTCTCCACAGTCCAGCCAGCGATCGTGCTAATGGAATGGCCATCACTGCCCCCAACTAACTAACCACCTTTTCAGTGCACTCCCTCCACTGGCACTGCGGCACTGCCATACCTATCAGCATGCATGCAGAGCTTCCATCCAGCCATCACCTACAAATCCCTGTCGCTGTCCTCGCCATCGCCGTCGCTCGTCGTCGTTGTCATCGCCCACGTAGCAGCGAAGTGTGTCGGTGTACAACTGGCTGTCGGCCACGGCCAGCTAGAACTGTGAGCGAGGGAGGGTAGGTGTTTAGGACATGGACACTATCGAGGAGTGCGGCGATGGAGGCCGCCACCTGCTGGGCGGCCTCGGCTCCAGGATCCTCGTCGGCGTGCCGGACAACTCCCGCGGCTGCTCGGAGCTGCTGTCGTGGGCGATCGGCGCCGTCGCCAAGGCCAGCGACTCCGTCGTCGCCGTGCACGTCCTCGGTAAGTTCAATCGATCAGCCAGTTCATGTTTCTGCTGCTCTGCTTCTGCCCATCGATCAGGTGTTCATGATGCCTGGCTGTGTCCTGTTCCTTCCCTGCAGGAGGGAGTGGGAGGAAGAGGAGGCTGCAGAAGGCCAACGCCTTCGTCATCTACATGCTCGGCGAATTCGTCGAAGCTTGTGAGGCCAAGCAGGTGAAATTGATCTTTTATCAGGCTTTGCAGATTTCTTGTTCCTGTGTGATGAACTCAATTCAGGTGATGTCAGACTTTAGTTCAAAGTACAGTAGGAGTATCTTTCTCTGTTTGGAGTGTAGTGTATTTGTTTGGGTGTGGTTCCATTTTCCCTCATCTGTGATCACTGATCACAACACAGTGCAGCGGGAGCTTGGAAGCCAAGTTTGTGCATAATTGCTAGTTGGTGTTCCTTTCTGTCAGGATTTGTCACGTCTTTTTAGCTGCAGGCCCAGTTAGGTGAAGTAGGGCTTTTAGATCATGATATGATAGGGCCATGCTCTGAGTGACTGGGTCTTTCCTTTTTTGCTGTCATATTCTCTCGTCTGGTACTGCTTGCTTTCACTGGTTGGTAGTCTAGTAGCAGTATTGGGAAGAACAATGTACTGTGGTTAGGGGTGACAATCATGTTAATAATTAAATAATAAACATTAGATTTTGAGACAGACCTATAACTATTTTTGTTACCTTTTTAGATTAATTTGGAGGCTAAGGTGGTATGCAGCTCAAACATTGGTAGAGCCCTCACCCAAGAAGCTGCATTGACTGATGGAAACATCCTTATTGTTGGGAGATCAAGAAATGGATACCATAGGTAATCTCAACAGGCTGATTCAACTTTAATGTCCAAAATAAAATATTGAACTCAGTTGCTCCTAAATTTTTTTATTTAATATCAATAGCCAGTAAGTATAATCAATGTATGGAGACCTTCCTTTGCTGTTTCGCCACTTTTTTCAAAAAAAAATAAGTGAGACTGCTATTAATTTTCAGTTAGAAGCCTAGAAAGTATTGATCTTACACCTATTACCATAACAGGAGCCATTTTGAGATTGCAAACTACTGCTTCATGCATGCTCCAAAAAACTGCTCGGTGATTGCTGTGGGAAGGGGAGGTCTGCCACAAACTAGTACTCGGCTGAGACCTCGGTCATTTGATGGTAAGATCACACATATGGTCAGAGTGCATTTTTCTCAGATGCGTGATAAACCTGCTTTCTGAAACCAATTCCGAAACTGAAAGCAGCAGACAGCACCATCTCCTCAAGCTCAACATGGAGCAGAAGATTCCCATCCCTTCAGAAGCTACTGAGATCAAACTCGACACGAAAGCTGGCTCAATCTTCTAATGAAGGCGCCGAGGACAAGAGCTCGCCGAGAGCAGTTCTGGATGGGCCAGAGCCAGAGGGAGGGGAGAGCCAAGTCACTGAAGAGTGCTACATCACGTCTAGCCATGAGGTGAGCCGGCGTGGCCACAATGGCCTGTGGAGGCGGTTGTCAGACATGAAGCTCTGGCTCCCATTCCTGAGGAACATTGGCGATGATAGCGCCAGGGGCAGCGATGTCAGTTCGGCCTATGCTGAAGATCACAAGCCTGCCTGGAGGTGCTTCAGCTTTCAGGAGATCTCAGTGGCCACTAATGACTTGCATCCAGGTGACTGTTTTCTGATACTAGTTCATTAAGTTTTCAGAAGTTCAGCTACTCTTATATAATGTGAAAAAGCTTACCAGAGGAGATGTGATGTCATAAGAAATGAAACATCAATATCAGAATGCAAGATTGTCATCTTTAATTTTCTGTGGTTTGCTTGTAGATAACATGGCTGGAAGAGGAGGCTATGCAGAAGTATACAAGGGCACCCTGTCTGATGGCCAACATATAGCTGTGAAGAGGCTAGCAAAAGGCACGCCCAGTGAGCAGAAGGAGAAAGAGTTCCTGGCAGAGCTAGGGATTCAGGGGCATGTATGTCATCCAAACACATCATACCTTCTTGGATGCTGCGTTGAGAATGGGTTGTACCTGATATTCGAGTTCTGTGCAAATGGCACCCTAGCATCGGCACTGCATGGTACCGAATTTCATTCAGTAGTACAGTATATATGATCAGTTTTTCAGAGATAAGGAGAATTCTCGAGTAATTATGTGATAATAGAGATCCAATTTTACAGGGAAGAGTGGGAAAACTCTTGAGTGGCCTCTGAGGTACAAGATCGCGGTCGGTGTAGCGAGGGGCTTGCAATATCTGCATATGTTTTGCAGGCATCGGATCATCCATCGCGATATCAAGGCATCCAATGTGCTTCTTGGCGATGACTTTGAACCTCAGGTAAATTGTTTTCTGACCAAATAGATAGTTATCTTCCTTTGATGCATATAGACTATAACAACAGATGGTTGTCGTATTTATAACAGATTTCAGATTTCGGTTTGGCAAAGTGGCTCCCAAAGCAGTGGACTCACCATTCTGTCATACCCATAGAAGGCACATTTGGGTAAGAACATTATGCTCATTTTTGAAACCATAGTAATGTAAGCACATTGCATTTCGACTCAAATTTTTCAAAATCACTTTGAGAACGCAGGTACTTGGCACCAGAATACTTCATGCATGGCATCGTCGATGAAAAGACGGACATATTCGCCTTTGGCGTTCTGCTGCTAGAGATTGTCACTGGAAGAAGACCTATTGACTGCTCCAAGCAAAGCCTTCTACAATGGGTGAGCACAAGAGAAAGAAATGACACCAACATGATGTTTACCAGTCAACAATTCGCACATATGACTTACTCTTGTTGTCTAGGCAAAGCCACTGCTGGAAGCTGGGCAAGTGACTCAACTTGCAGACCCAAACCTCGGAGACGACTATGACAAAGATCAACTGAACAGGATGGTTGCCGTCGCATCTCGCTGCATTATGCGACCGGCGATGTGGCGGCCTTCAATGGCCGAGGTGCTAATCAATTTTATTACTACCTGAGCTGTTCTGGTTTGCATATTGTGAAATGTTTGCTGATGACAGTATGTCATTGTCCCCTACTGCGCATGCCGTTTTTCAGGTTCTGCATTACCTGTCTACTACTGATGAGTGTCTGAAGGAACCCGAGAAATGGAACATTCCCGAGGACGAGGTGGACGACATGGATGATTGTACATTGTTTTCTGAATCTTGATCACCGTAATTGTAGCCACCTTTTTCTCATTTCCTTTTGTATGCGCTGTTGGCATGCATGCCTTTCTTGTCATGGTGATGGAGCTATGTTTTCTGGTTTGTAGTCTTAGATGACTGGTATTTAATCATGTAATATATGACAGGAGATTTTGGGGATGTATTCAGGCCGGTTCGGCTTTATCAGTCAATTAGAGTATGGATGAGGATGAGCATAAGAGCTTGCATTTCCTAATGTGCGCGACAACGAAACATGTAACTGCAGGAAGCCACTACTAAACCAAGCAGGCTTTATGATTTACACACCTTTTCTGGTGGGATTATGAATTTATGATTAGGAAACTAAGAACTTTGTATATTCATGGATCAACACCAGAATCACATCGATTTTGAATTTTTATATACAGCAAACTCAGCCTGAGACACTGGATGGAAATATGTGACCAAGCCCTTCAGCAGAATTGCAGAAACATATATTCGGATAGCCCTCCTGCAAAAGTACGGCCCCCTTTGGATCGCATGAATAGAGAAATGCAGGAATAGGAAAAATGTATGAATACTGCAGGAATACAAGTAGAAAACGGGTGATTTATAAACATAGGAATCTTTGTACAGTGGGTCTTTGGATGAACCTTATTGGAAAGTATAGGAAACAACAGTGCATATCAGTTCATTAGAGAAATAATTATGATTATCTCCAAAGAACAACGTTATTTTTCATGAAAAAATAGAGAATAATAATAATATTTTTTATATAAAAAAAGCTCTAAGCCAACCGTGATCTTATCCGTCCCCTTCCTAGCCGCAAGTATCTCTCGTCTCTCTCCTTGCTTGCCGCTGGTCCCGCTCCCGCAGATGGACACCGCTCATCCCGCGGCCGGGCAGCAACGTTTTGGTGGCCCGATGCTCGTCCAGCCGCCGGGCGAGGTCGAAGCTGGAGCACTGCGGGCCGCGTGGGGCGAGCGAGCGTACCCGAGCACTCTCGCAGCTCCTCGCCGCCGCCGCCGGAGGACGGACCTGCGATGCGCCGCCGAAATTTGGATACGAGTGGCTGATTTCAATTTACCACACCTGCTCCGCGCGATTTGGTTCCAATGATGCCTTTGCATAGCAGGTTAGAGCTTGATTTGCCTCGATCCTATGCTACAGAAAGAAAAACAAAGAGGTCGGAGTGGATGTTTTCTTCCCGTACTTTTCCTTGTGAAATCAGCGTCGTAGGAAACTTTCCTCCAATTTTCCTACACACGATTCTTTCCATCCAAAGGGATGAACAGTACTCTTTCCTAAAGGAACCTGAATCCTCCGTTTTCCTAGCAAGAATCCTCCATTTTAAAGGAGCCAACATCTGGGGTATTTATCTAGCTTCATGGACCCCATGGTCATGGCCAATTTATCTTTTTATGCCCTGGATTTCTGATGACTAGGCCTAAGCCTGTCCAGCCCATCATACTCTGAATTTCCTCCTTAAGCTTCAAAATCACACATTGCATCCCCTGTAGCTCTTAAAACCATTCAAATTATCTCTCTACCACGATTTGATTTGAAGTGGTTCTAAAGACGGTTTTGTCTTTTTTACAAAAATCCAATAAATACTTAATAAGGTTTTTAAACCACATAAAATGGTTCTAAGCTTCTAAAATTTCAAGAAAAATCATAAAGAATATATCTTGAACCTTCCAAATTTAGATTGACCTCTTAGGAAATGAAAAAAAAAATCTAGACAAAACTAGAACAAAAAAAAAAGAGCTGCTAGGTCTCTGGTCGTCTCGTTCCTTCGAGAGCTCTGGCGACTTGGAGGAAGTTCCGGACCCCTGTAGCACTCCACACAAGGGATCTCGGACTTGGTTTGCTCACTCTAATCTAGCTCAAATCCATCCATTCACAGTTCGATCCACATCTCTGCTGACACATTCAGGCAGTTCATCCCTCGAGTTGGCTGTTCTAGTTTCTTCTTTCTCTGAACTTTCTTGAGGAACGCAGTGGGAGGTGGTCTGATGGGGAGGAATCAGGGGGGAGGTGGTGGAGACGGGATTGAGGGCCTTATGAAAGGCCTCAAGCTCTCGGAGGAGAGAAATGGAATGAGAGGAGAATGGCGGTCGGTAGCAGGGGAGGAAAGCAAGGTGGCACAAGCTGTCGGGAAACTGTTCTCTGGAAAGGCAGGATATGCAGATGGAATGGCGCAATCTTTGGGCAAAATCTGGTGCCCACTAAAGGGGATTCGTTGCAAGGAACTAGGTGATAACTTTTTTCTCTTTTCTTTCTTGCAACCCAGTGGAAAAAGAAGAGCAACTACAGAGGGGCCATGGGAGTTTGGTGGGGATCTGCTCATTGTTGTTGATTTTGATGAAAAAAAACGGCTAAAAGATTTGGAGTTCATTTACACTCCGGTCTGGATTCGAGTTTTTGACCTCCCTTTGGGAATGATGAATGAGGCTACAGGAAGGAAGATTGGAGACAAGGTGGGGAAGACTCTAGAGGTAGATGCAGAGGATGATGGCTCTGCAATTGGTAGGTATCTCAGGATCAAGGTCAGACTGGATGTGCGGAAGCCGCTACTCCGAGGTGTGATGATGGAAGATGAAGACGGGGAAGCTTTTGGTGCCCTTTCAAATACGAGTTCCTCCCAAATTTCTGTTATGTTTGTGGTTTGTTGGGGCATACTGATAAGATTGTGATGACTATGGAGGAAGGGATGAGAAGCAGCAGTTTGGTGAATGGCTAACAATCAATCCATCAAGAAGGAGAATAGTGAATGATAATAGAAGTAAATGGCCTGATGGAGGTAGTTCAGGGAGACTCCCAAAGTTGAAGTGCAGTGATAATTCAAACAAGAGTCAAGAGAAGGAGATAACTAAATCAAAAACTAGTTTGACGAAGGAATCTTCCTGGATTGATAGGAATTTTATTGAGGATGGAACCACTAGTGATCCACAGAAGCCTATTCTTGAAGATGCTGTAAATGAGGATACTAGGGAGGATCTACCAAGGAAAGGGCAGTCTGAAGTTGAGTTTTCACACAGTGGGGCTGCTCAACCGGCCCAGGTTGTTTTCCTTGGAAATAATGAGAAGGAATTGAGAGGGGGAGTAGTACTTTGAGGAAGGGATGGGAATTTCACTCAGGGATGAGTGAAAGGTCCTAATATGGTTAGAGGGGGGTGAATAGCCTATTTAAAACTTTTACAAAGCACTAGAGCAAATTTGTTAGTAACACAAATGGCACAATGTGATTTTGCTCTAGCTCTATAAGAGTTGCAAGCTACCTATCTCAACAATTCTAGTTACTATGATCACTATCACACATAATAAGCTAGATCACTACTCACTAAGCTAGTGTGCTCTCAAAGACTAACTCAAGAGTCACACTAACCAAACTAACAAGCTCTCAAAGACTAACTACACTAAAGAGCTTGACAACTAATTTGTGGGAATGTAAATGAGTAAGTAGGGTGATTATACCGTCGCGTAGAGGAGTTAACCAATCACAAGATGAACACCAATTCAATCATCGAGAGAATACCAAAGGGCAAGAGACAATCAATTTTTCTTCGAGGTTCACGTGCTTGCCGGCACGCTAGTCCCCGTTGTGTTGACCAACACTTGGTGGTTCGGCGGCTAATAGGCATCACACACCTAACCCACCACAAGAGGTGCCGCAAGAACCTACCCACAAGTGAGGTAGCTCAATGACACGAGCAATTTACTAGAGTTGTTTTTGGTGCTCCGCCGGGGAAGGCACAAGACCCCTCACAAGCAATCGATCGACGCCGGAGACAATCACCAACTCCGCTCAACGATCCTCCAATCACCGGGCCGTCTAGGTGTCGGCAAACACCAAGAGTAACAAACTCACAACCAACCTAAATCACCCAACTAGTGCCACAAGATGATGCAACTCAATGCAATGCAGTAGAGGCTCTCCAATCTCATTCAAGATAATGAAATCAAGTGAACAAGTGAGTCAAGTGTGTTGCTCAGCTTTCAAAGGGTGTGCACAAGTGTGTGAGGTACCAAGAGGGTGGCTAAGGCCGGCCACGCCCTCTATTTATAGCCACACAAGCAAATAGAGCCGTTACCCCTTGGAGCTGCTTTCTGCGAGAACACCGGACATGGCGGTGCGGTCACCGGACAGGGGGTGACGGTGCCCCAACGGTCAACCAACGGCTAGTTGGTCACCGGATAGGGGCGACGGTGGCACCGGACAGGGGGTGGCGGTGCCACCCTGGCCGAGCCCCAAAACACCCCTTTCTGGATAATTAGGGCGGTGGCACCGGACAGACAGTGACGGTGCACCACCGTGCCCATGGCGGTGAACACCGTCGTGTCCGGTGACCACCCTACAGCGGCCCTTCTCTGTCAGGTCCTAGTGGGCACCGCCATAGGGGTGACGGTGCACCGGACAAGGGGTGGCGGTGCCACCCAGGCACCACCACTAGCTCTCCGAGTTGCAAACTTTGTCGCGTTTCGATCCACGTTAACTAGAGCTACTCCCAAGCGATGCTAACTCTCAAAGTGTTTTCTCAAAACATATTAGAGCCAAGTTAGCATTTCTCAAAATATTTTCGATAAATATTTTCGCTTGCTCTCCGATGTGCTCTAGGCCTAAATGCAATGCATGAAGTCCAACACCTAGTGGCACTAGATGATCGAATTATCTAGTTAAGAACACATTTTAATAGTACGACCATTTATCTTAAATGTGATCACTCTCTATAGTGTCTTGATTACTAAAACAAAACCCCTAATTATACCTTTGCCTTATCTCCATAGGGTTTTGTTTTTCTCTTTCTTCTTTTCCAAATTGAGCACTTGATCATCGTCACATGTGGCCATCTCATCATTTCATGTGATCAACATCAACATTTGAGTGCCACCATGCTCCTCACTTAGATTGCACCAACCTAGCTCATATCATCACTCATGACAAATGTTAGTACTTAGGTTTCATCAATTATCCAAAACCAAACTAGGGCTTTCAATGAGGAGGTGGCTGCAAATGATGATCTTGGTCAAATGGAGGTGGATTGTGAGCAACAAGAGGAGGGTGTCATTATAGCTGCACTTGATGCGAGCCAGGCCTTGTTGGCCCCTGCACACAATGATGGAAAGGAATATCAGGATGAAAGGAAGCATAGGGGAACTTACAAACGAATTCCTCGGGAACTAAGGAATTGTACGGAATGTGGACAATTATTGGAGGTGAAAAAGAGGCATTTGCAAGAAGAGGAGATGGAGTATGGAGAGGAGCTGAAGGGGCAAAAGGTGAGTGGAGAGGAGATAATAATGCAAAATGATTTGTTTCAGGCGGGACTGCAAGAGCAGTTCCGCCAGGAAAAATGAGGCTTATCGCTTGGAACTGTCGGGGATTGCGGAATGGCCCGGCAGTTCGAGGGCTTCTGGACGTCCAGAGGCAGAGATCAAAACAATTTACCTTGGCTGTGCAGCGGTGATTTTAATGAAATACTTTTCAATTGTGAAAAGGAAGGAGGCGTCCCACGAAGTGAGCGATGCATGGAGAAATTCAGACAAGCATTAGAAGATTGTCAATTACATGATCTAGGTTTTGTCAGTGATGCCTTCACTTGGAGAAACCACCATCGGGATGTTGCAAGTTATACAAAGGAAAGGCTAGACCGCAAATAATGCATGGCGCGTTTGTTTTCCTCTGGTGAGAGTAATCCATGGTGAACAACGCCATTCAGACCATCGCCCAATAATAGTAGATGTTGGGGATAGGGGTCTCAACGAGTGGAGGAAGCCACGGGAAATAATGAGAAAGTTTGAGGCTAAATGGTTCGAGGAGGAAGAATGTAATGCTCGAGTACAAGAAGCATGGGCAGCAGCTGTACAGAATGGGGGTGCTTGCATGATGGACTTACAAAGTATGGTGCTGTGTGACTTATGGGAATGGGACAGAAATGTTTTGGGGGAATTAGAGAAACGAATTAAGAAGGTGAGAAATGATTTGGAGAAATGTAGGAGGTTGAGCATTTCACAAGAACAAGTTAACCGGGAACATTTATTGTGGTACAAGCTAGAACGCTTACAAGACCAACTTCATGTCTACTGGGAGCAAAGAGCTCATATCGCTTGGCTAACAAAGGGTGACCGGAATACTAAATATTTCCATGCTCAAGCCTCCGAAAAGAGAAGGAGAAAGTTTGTGACGAAATTGGAGGATGAAGGCGGTGGAACAGTACAAGGCCCGCACCTGAGGAGATTTATAGCTAACCACTACCAGCAACTTTTTTTGTCTTCTGCAGGTGCTGATTCATGTGAATGTATTACCAAAATACTTGAATGTGTCCAGGAACGTGTGACCCAAGAAATGAATGAAGCACTCATGAAGCCATTTACTGATGAGGAAATATGGACAGCATTGGATAATATTGGAGATTTAAAAGCCCCTGGAGCTGATGGCTATCCTGCTATTTTCTTTAAAAGGTTCTGGCATGTGGTTGGGGACCGGGTGAAGCAAGAGGTGCATAATGTTCTAAATGGCGGTGACATGCCAAATGGGTGGAATGATACTATAATTGTCCTTATTCCAAAGGTCAGAAACCCAACCAAGCTTAAAGACCTCAGACCCATGCACTGTGCTATATAAGATTATTTCAAAAGTGCTTGCAAATAGGCTTAAGAATTTCTTACCTGAGATTATATCCCCCTCCCAAAGTGCTTTTGTCCCAGGCCAGTTGATTACAGATAATGTGTTGTTATCCTACGAGCTGACCCATTACCTCAAATCAAGAAGGAAAGGGAAGAATGGAGTGGCTGCTATTAAATTGGATATGAGTAAGGCATATGACAAGGTAGAATGGACATTGTTGCAGGGCATGATGCGAAAATTGGGGTTTCATGATAAATGGATTCATCTAATCATGAAATGTGTCACTATGGTATCTTATCGTATTAATTTTAATGGTGAATATACTGATCAAATATTCCCACAAAGAGGTTTAAGGCAGGGCGACCCCCTATTGCCATATATATTCATTTTGTGTGCAGAAGGACTGTCAGCCATGCTTCAAAGCGCTGAAAATGCTGGAAAAATTGAGGGAATTAAAATTTGCAGGGGGGCACCAAGGGTGAACCATCTTTTGTTTGCAGATGATTCACTCATGCTAATGAGGGCCAAAAAAGAAGACGCACATGAACTAAAGCATATTCTTGAAATTTATGAAAGAGCTTCGGGCCAGGTAATTAATAAGGACAAATCTTCCATCATGTTCAGTCCAAATACTGCAGACTGCATTAAAGGTGAAATGAGATAGGAACTATCCATTATGCAAGAAGCAAGAAGTGAAAAGTATCTAGGGCTGCCCATCTCTGTAGGTAAGTCAAGGAAGAAAGCTTTTGAATATATCAAACAACGGATATGGGCAAGGATTCAAGGTTGGCAAGAGAAATTGCTATCCAAGGCGGGTAAAGAAATCCTTATCAAGGCAGTGGCCCAAGCAATCCCGACCTATGCGATGTCCTGTTTCAATCTTACAAAAAGTTTCTGCGACGATTTGAGTTCAATGGTCAGGCGGTATTGGTGGAGCCAACAAGACAAAACTAATAAAATTCATTGGCTCAGTTGGGAAAAGCTAACTCTATCAAAGAAAAGGGGGGGATTGGGATTTCGAGATCTGTATCATTTTAACTTGGCAATGTTGGCCCGTCAAGCATGGCGCCTCCTAATAGAACCAAATACTTTATGTGGGCGGGTTCTTAAAGCGAGATATTTCCCCAACTCAAATATTCTACAATGTAAGACTCGAGTTGGAATCTCATACACATGGAGGAGCATAATTGATGGAATTAATCTGCTAAAAGAAGGAATTATCTGGAGGATTGGGTCCGGTTCCAATGTTAATATCTGGACTGATCCCTGGATCCCAAGAGGAACTACCAGAAGACCAATAACCCCGAGAGGTGGTTCTCTTATAACAAAAGTATCTGACCTTATGGACCCGAGCACAGGAACATGGGATGAAAGTTTAATCACTGATGTTTTCTGGCCTGAGGATGCAGAGGCAATTCTTATGATTCCTACTGATTATGAAGCTGTTGAATGGCCTGCTTGGCACTATGACTCAAAAGGTGTTTTCTCTGTAAAATCAGCATACAAGCTAGCAGTTCAAATCCGTGATCAGCAAAAGGGGACTGATGCTTCTACGTCGATGGCGGAAAATCAGAATGCAAATGGCTTTAGATGGGGAAAATTGTGGCAGCTTAATATTCCAAATAAGATCAAGATGTTCCTGTGGCACTTTGCTCATAACAGCTTGCCGCTAAGAAGGAATATTGCAAGGCGGGGAGTGGAGCTTGACACCCGTTGTCCTATTTGCTATAGATTAGATGAAGATTGTGGCCATTTATTTTTCAAGTGCAAAGCAGTTAAACAGTGTTGGAGGAGATTATGCATGGAAAATGTAAGGGAGTTATTGGAAACCTGCAGTTCAGGCAAAGAAGTGATTGAGAAAATATGGAGTTTCGAGGAAAAGGAACAGTTAAAAATTTGGGTCCTTCTTTGGAGGTGGTGGTCAGCTCGGAACAAAGCAAATGCAGGCGAGAGAATGGCTACTGAAGCTGAAGTGTGCCATTCAGTGGCGTATCATCTGATGGAGTTTGAAAAACTAAGGAAGGATGAGAAGGAGAGCAATAAGCTGAATAAGGAGGAATGCTGGAGACCACCCACTGATGACATATACAAAATTAATATCGATGCATCTTTTCATGCTGATTTGAAAAAAGGAGGCTGGGGCTTTATTATTCGAAATAGTATGGGACAATTTCTTGAAGGAGGTGTCGGAAATATTTCCCGTGTTAGCTGTCCCCTACAAGCAGAGGCGCTAGCTGCTTTATATGCCTTGCAGCGTGCTGCACAATTGGGCATGACCAATGTGATTTTGGAAACTGATGCATCTGTGCTGGGCTGCGCGCTTAAATCAACGGAGTTGGATAGAAGCCCATTTGGTGCTTTGTTTGTACAAATCCGAGAACTGATGTATTTTCACTTTAACAATTGTAGAATCTCTGTTTGCTCTAGGATCTGTCACAAGGTAGCCGATTGTATGGCTGCTTATGGTGCGTGTCATTAGCTCTGGCTCTCATGTGTTCATGAGCCAAGCACCGTCTTTTGTATCTGAACTAGTCTCCAGGGACAAACCTGGAGTTGGTTGTTAATAGAAACAAAGTTTCTGTGATAAAAAAAAACAATGTAAAAAATATGAGATTCAGAAAGTATGAATGCAATGCATTCATGCTGGTGGGATCTTACAGTTTTTTATTGAAAAGTTTTTAAAATTAATTTAGACATCAATTAGAATGTTTTGGGAATTTTCTACATTCTAAATATTTTTCTATTTTCATTTTTTTTTAAAAGTTTTCAAAATGAATTTAAACAACAATTAGAATGTTTTGGGAATTTTCTACATTCTAGATATTTTTTCTATTTTCCTTGAGCTAAATCTAATTTTTTGAAGGTTGTAGAGATATTTCCATGAGATCTAAATATTTTATTTGGATTAGATGTATCCCAATCTATCTCTATGAATTTTCCAGAATTTTTAGAAGCTTAGAGACATTTTATGTGGTTCAAAAACCTTATCTAGTACTTACCTGATTTTTTTTTAACTAACAAAGACAAAGCCACCTCAAACTAGGCAAGGAAGTAATTTGAACGGATTTGAGATTTCAGAGGGTGCCATGTCTAACTTTAAAGTTTGAGGAGAAAAATCGTTCTATATATGATGATAGTTTAAGAAGATAAAATGGACGTTTTCTTCCGCAAAGATAACAATGGTATAACGGTTAAAGAAACGAAAGTTATTTGAAGCCTAATAGGGTAAAGCCCCAGCGGTTAATCATGTCCCCCGAACCTCTTCCCCCAAGTCCAATTTTTTGTGGTTGTCATTCGATTTTGTTTGTCGCATTATCTTATGAGATGTCAATCAGTCACTCTGATTATATGCATTTGTTGTGCTGACTCATTTTTTTCTATAAATTATCGATTTCAGATCAATATCGATGTGTTTCGGATCAGGTAGTTTCCTTTCCAAAGTTCCATAATATTAGCCCCTATTCGTTTTCGACAGTGTTGGAACTTGGAACTCGTTTTTGAGGAAACAAAAGGTAGGAAACTGACAAAAAAAAAAGACCAATTCAGATCGTTTTCATCCCTAGCTGCAGTTGCAGCCTTGCTCTTCACAAAAAGAAGAAGAAGAAGAAGAAGAAGAAGAAGAAGAAGAAGAAGATAAAAGTGCAGCCATGCGGGTATAAACACGTTGATAGCTGGGCCTAACAAAACAGTAAAATTGAAGAAACACAATATGCGCATCGCCATGCAAAGA